GACGGACAGACGGACGGACAGACAGACATGGCTCAGTCGACTCGTCTATTGTTGCTGATCAAGAATATATATACTTTATGGGGTCGGAAACGTTTCCTTCTGTGTGTTACATACATTCACTTTGTGCAAAAATTGTGCACACCCTATTTACTCTTCGAGTACCGGGCATAAAAACAATCCAGCAAGTGGATCAGTTGGTCAGGCGGCCAGAGGCCCCGGAATCCCTGTCGCAACCCTATCGATAGAAAGCATGCAGTGAGTACTTCTCGCCTTGTGTTATTTATTCAAATTTCTGTTACAAACCAATAGGAATGATTTCTGTTTGCTTTCTTGGATAATTCAAGTTATTTAAGGAGTTCCTCTTTTTGAGATGGTGTCATGGCGTCCAATTTCAAACGAACCGCTTCGTGAGCCGTCGCCTTTACGTGAGCCATGCGTCCTTCATAATCAGGTATAATTTCCACGACCTTTTCGAAGGTCCTCTGTGTCGCTGTGCGGATCGATGGGCATTCGGTGAAGCAGGACATTGCGTTCTGCAGCATTCGGTGTAACTTAGTCAGAAACCAGTCCCAGCCCTTAAACTGCTCGCCCGCCAGCATCTTCTCCAGTATGTCCCAATCCAGAGGCTCATCATGGAAGTCATTATCTAGATTTTCTCCATAATGCATCCAGATCGACGAGATGTTGAATGGCCAAGAGTTCGCACAACAACGTAGAGCCTTGATCAGGGTCTGGCTGTATGTGCGCTCGATCTTCAGATTTAAAGGCATCAGGATAGCCGTTATGCTGAGTCGATCAAGGACTGGTTCGACTGGGAGTGGGTCGATTTTCACTTGAGTTCCATAGTTGTTAAGAAGGTTTGGGGGTCGCTGAAGCTCTGGAAATTCGTGCGAGATAACAGCATTTTTATCGGCGTCAGCTCGGGTCAGACTTCGCGACCCTGGAGGTCGGCCACGACCACGACGGGCCGGTGTCACGGGCGTGAACTGTTTGCCATGGTGCCGATTCGGATGTAGATTGGGAACGGCCTCAAATGAAGGCAGTGGATCGTCTGCCTTTGGCTGATTTCCATTCTTGATTTCCACCTTGGTATTCATTGGAATGACAGCCTTTTCCTGGCGCGGGGTCTTCGGCAATGGAGAGGTTTTTGAAATGGCTGCCTTCCGCGGACGCCTGGTCTTGGCCTCAGCCCTACACTCATTGTGCAATTCCTGCTGCATTTTCGCCATGCGCAGCCAAAAGCACTCGCACAGGTTGACAGCAGCTTTAAACACGGGCGAGTCCGGACTGTTGTAGACTCTGCAGTTTTCGAAAATCAATAGAATGTCTTCCAGGACGTCTGCACCGCCCCAGTAGTATGTGTACTCAAATCTTTTCTTGATTGTGTTCAAGTCCATGGGGTTTGCGATTTTTTCGTGGTAGTCCCTGATCTTCAGCTTCACAGCATCGACAGGTTGGCGAAAGTGCAGCGAGGAAGGGTTGCGCGACAACGCATTCACAGCGGTTCTCAGTTTTAACAAGAAATTGGTTACCCTTCCCTTACGATTGGGTGGCGGCATCACCGGGGGCTGCACAATTCCATTTACCGGCTGCACTCTGGGCTCGCACCGTGGCGGCCGCTGCTCCCCTGGGTGCCGGTTTTCGAGCACGCTTAAAGCTTTCTCAAAGTCCTCACGACGCCCATCATCCATTGTCTGAGAATAGAGATTTCAATTAGATTTTGGACCGCCCAAATGGCTGTGGCAAGTGCCACAGGTAGACTGTTCGTAGACTGTTCGAATTGCCACATTCTATCAACCGAAAAACTTAATTGTAGAGCGTACTTACATTCCTTTTCTTCTCGCTGGTGGTTTAATTAAACCTTTTATTCAGATGCTTTTTTTTGACAAGCATCTGAAAAGTGTTAGGGATGGCTGATAAAAAAGTAAGCACATCGATACACGCATTGTGTGCTATCGATATTCAGTGTTGAGCAATGCCAATAATATGGCAAATGAAAATGGGCTCACTCGATATATCAGCCATCGATATGAGCCAAAAGCAATGGATCGGGCAAAACCATTTAAGGCATTTTATATACTTTCCAGGATATTTTGATCACGAAATTTGGTTCATTGTATATTTACGGTATATCGGTATGGTATAATGGTATATTTAATGAATTTCATTGGCCTATTAAATTACATTTTTGAAGTACCTGCGAACGAATTGGAACGCTACTTGCTGATTGATCTTAAGATCAATCTTTAGATCTTTAGAGGATCTAACTGATGGGCGAACAAGAGAGTGAGTGTCAGAGAGGAGTCAGAGATGTGTCTGAATTATAATGTCCTTTTATTCTGCTACTCTTCTGCTACTACTACTATTCTGCCACACCTTTCCAATGGTCCAGTCATCCGTCACCTCCGCACGGGCGAAGTTTGTGGCAGCCATCGATATGCGGACCTTGTGGGCAAAGTTGGCTGCAGAGTTTGAGTCCTGTTCGGTGGCAATGATGGAAGACCAAATATGACCAATAGATGAGGTCTATGAGCAGTGCAGAAATAATAGAGATAGACTGTTAGATCGCATCTTTGTCAGCAATGCCTCTCGTACAACGGTTTTAAGAGGCAATCCGATATATTTTCCCCAAGATTCGCATCATCCCACTTTATCTATATTTTTGGAGGTCTCTATTACTAACACCATTTTACCTCCAAAAAGTCGTATAAAGTGTTTTCGCAAAGCTAATTTTATTGACCTTTGTCTACATCTCTCGCAAGTTGATTGGTCCTTTCTTTAGTCCTCATAACATATAGAGCCTACTGTCAATATGTTTTACGAAACATTATACTCTGCCCTCGATACCCACGTCCCTGAAGTCACGCATAAACAAAGGAGATTCGGAGGCACGATTTCCAAGTATCTGTCTTACCTAAAAAATAACGAGAAGGGACGTGTGAGATGCTTCTTACGCGTCACAACTTTTATACCCGGCACTCCGTAATAATTGTGCACCTTAGCGGTGTTTTGTCAAATTTAACATATTTTCTTCATCTGTCATATACATCTACAACACTACTCAGACCAACACGCTCCGTTAGCTCGCCGCCCTCCCTACACACAAAAAAAAACAAATATAAGCTGCGGGACCGGGTGGGTTAAAAGTCGGAAGAGGCAGGGGCCAAGTGAAGCAGAAGCAGAGTGTGAATGAGAGAATGTAAAAATAACAACAAAAGATGCGGGACTGGGTGGGTTTAGCCACTGCAAATTAATATCTTTATTGTGGCTATAATAATGATCCATTCGGAACCCAATTTGGTGATCTGATAGATATGGCCATTCCCTACGGAATAGCGTTTTTAGTTTTTTTTATCTTAAAAATTGTAGATTTGGGAGGTTTTCGCCCTTTTGCGGGGACGGAAGAGGGCGTGGTAAATTTTTGAAGTACACTTGTAACAGTGTGAGCATACAGAAGTTTTTATGGTTTCTGAGATCCAGGCGCTTAACAAGACGGACAGACGGACGGACAGACAGACATGGCTCAGTCGACTCGTCTATTGTTGCTGATGTTCTTATATATATGAAATACCCCAGCCTTTGCAAAGGAAGACACACAATGTATGTAAGTGAAACACGTGTTTATGTTATATGGGATAAATGAGAAGCTCATGGCCCATATGTTTTACTCGGCTCTTCTTGGTCTGTCTTTGCACAATATTCTTACTTTCGCTCTCAATTTCTTACGGTCAATACGAAATGTTATAACGTATATCTTTCCCAATGTGGCACAAATTTCCGTAATAATCGCAAAAAATTATTTTCGTTCGTCAACTCAAAACGCAAGTCTAACGCGTTCCCTTCTTCCCTTCACTCACAGTCTAAAACAGAAACTTCAGATCAAGGAATTCAAATTTATTTTCCACCTTCTTTCAATCGAAGTATTCCTTGGATACTTATGACTCCTCCACCCCTTATCCATACTATCTACCTCATGTTAAAAACGTGTTTCTTCCCTTCCTTGAAGAAAGTGCTGTCTTCGAATGGCTTTCATCAATTGACATCTGTTTCTCTGCGGGTCCAGATAAAGTTCCGAGCTGTATTTTAAAATGTTGCGCTAAAGCCCTATCTCATCCTTTGACCTTCTTATTTAATTTATCCCTGGCCTTGACCTTGATGAATTAAGCATTTGGTGTTCGAATAACCTACTTTTCTTGAACCATTCCAAGTGCAAACTTATGACTTTTTACCGCCGTGCCCCACATTTTGTCTCCTATTCTCTAGGACACCATGCTCTGGATCGAATCTCCACATCAAATGACTT